AAAGGGTACGTGAGACCTTTCTGTACCATCTTTGCAACTTCCTATTATTCCAATATTTGTTTCAAAATATGAAGCTTTATTTTTTAAAGCGTTTCTTAGACTTGGAAGCAGACCCTTATTACTTTCTCAAATTGTACTTATGAAGATCATTCCTTTGCCCATAGTTATTGATCAAATATATATAACTGTCTTACTTCACAACTTTCACAGAAATACAATTTCCAGAAGGATCAAAGATATAGATAAAAAATGAAACCATACAAATAACAGAGGAATATATAGAAGGTTGTTTATTATTTTGGGGTATAGGGAAGTGTTCTAAGCTACGATAAAAAGGGCAAGAAATTTGAAAGAAATATTTGACAGTAGTGACAATGCTGATATTTAAAACTACAGTAAAATGCAAAAGACAAAGAAAACAATTCTACAAATGAAATTAAAAGACAAATGATAAAACTGGAAAATATTTTCAGAATATATGGTGATCTAAAAGTGTAACAAGTAAAGGGCGTGAGCGAGGAATGCCCTAAATTACACACAAAACAAAAACCCCTAATAACTGCAATGAGAGAGTCCACGAGTGACCAAATAGAGGCAAATTAAAATAATTAAAGAAAATTGTTCGCACTAGAGATTAACAGGATAAGACTGACACAACCCAGGATAAAGAGGGTAAAGGCGGATATGAGGACACAGCCAACGTCGGAAAAATAACAGATAGACACAGTCTACCGGGTAGCTTGACAACATGCGTATGTGTCAAAATGTAAAAGATGCCCTATATTTTTTTTTTTTCGGTACGCGGGCCTCCCACTGTTGTGGCCTCTCCCGTTGCGGAGCACAGGCTCCGGACGCGCAGGCTCAGCGGCCATGGCTCACGGGCCCAGCCGCTCAGCGGCAATGTGGGATCTTCCCGGACCAGGGCACGAACCCCTGTCCCCTGCATCGGCAGGCAGACTCTCAACCACTGCGCCACCAGGGAAGCCCAAGATGCCCTATTTTTTGTTTGTTTGTTTTGTTCAAATAGTTTTATTGTTATTTTATCAACTAAAGTTGTCATATGATTTATTCAGATAAAACTCACATAACATAAATTAACCATTTTAGAGTGAACAATCCAGGGACATTTAGAACATTCATAATGTTGTACAACCCCCACCTTCATCTAGTTCCAAAACTTTTCTATCATTCAAAATAAAACCTGTACCCATTAAGCAGTTTGTCCCCATTCTCCCCTCTCCTCCAGCCCCTGGTAACCACCAACAGTCTTCTGTCTCTATGGATTTATCTCTTCTGAATATTACATATACATGGAATCATAAAATATGTGACCTAAAAGATGTCCTATTAACCCGAGAATTACATTACTAGGTATTTAGCTAAGATAATAAAGACACAAGTGCAAATATAGTAATAATAAAATAAAACTGCATGCTCGATTGTACACCCCAGCAGTTTTTTGTTTGTTTGTTTGTTTTTAATCAGGGAGAAAAATTTAAAACAATATTCAGTGTCAATCAACTGGAGACCAATGAAGGAAAACTTATGGCCCATGCACACAATGAAATGCTGCGTGGCCTTTAAAAATGACAAAAATCTACATTTACTGACTGTTTTCAGTCAGAAAGCAGAGCATCGCAATCAAAAGCACAGACCCTGCAGCCAGAATATGTGCATTCAGAGTCCAGCTCCATCCCTTACGGGCTGTGTGATGTTAGCAAACTCCTGAACTTCTCTGTGCCTCAGTTTCCTGGTCTATAAAATGGGAATGATAATAGTGCTTATGATGTTGCCATGATAATGAAATGAGCTATTGATAATAGTTGTAAAATACTGAGAACAGTATCTGCAACACAGAATGTGCTACAAAACAGCTTGTTAAAGAAAAAATACTGACATGAAAAATTTATCTGCTCCATTACTGAGTGAAAAAAGATCACAGAACATTATATATGACCTCATTTCTGAAAAATGTATATGAACATACATAGAAGTGAGAAAGATCTTTCTTCACCTTTTTTGCACAGTGTAATAGACCTTATACCTAGGCAGTGAAAGTTTGGATTATTTTTACTTTCTTCGTAGTATTTTTTATATCATTCCAGGTATTAAAAAAGCAAACAAATAATAATGATAATATCCAATTGGTACTCTTGGATACTTTTGGAATCTAAATTGGTGTGAGCTTTCTAGGGGGCAATCTGGCTACATGTAATACACTTTCTGGCCCAGTAGTTCTACTTTTAGGAATTTATCCTACAAAAGTAACAAATAATAATCCACACATATACATATATACACATACACAGACGCATACATATACATAAGGGAATGTTTATTAGAGCAATATTTATAACAGCAAAAACTATGGAAATAACCTAAATTTCACTAAATGTACCGTGGTTGGCATGAACAACGGAATACTACATGGCGTGGAAAAGTGACGCCGCAGAGCTCCATGAAAGGTCCTTTCAGTGAGGGCCGTGAATACCCAGGTAAAGAGTCTGCACTTTCCTGTGAAGGGGAGACACTGCAGAAGCGTGTTTTGGGAAGAAACCCCCGAGGGCAGCACAGCCTGGGGGAACATCCACGGCCTGGGCTGAACTTCTCACACGCCCTCCAAGTTAGATCTAGGCCTAAGGCCCGGAGGAATCAACAGCCAGAATGTAGGCCCGGAGGAATCAACAGCCAGAATGTTCGGTGCTGCCGAAGAGGATATCCCTGATTTCTAACCACAACTGTGCAGAAAGCCCAGGAGTCTCTCAGAGGGGGACTGACAGGACAAGCCAGCTGTGTGAAGGCACAAAACCAAAACAGACTCTCAACGAGACAGCCCTGAGTGAGCAGAGAGACTTGGGTTCTCAGAAGGACTCGGGCCAGTACACGCAGAGCTGCCCTGATGGCTAGATCTGGCCCCTCTGGTTAAAACGAGACAACCACTGAGCATTTGTGCGAGAAAAAGAGAGTGGGGGCTGGGGAGGGGTGCGTGTGTGTACGCGTGCGACACACTCAGAGGGCAGGGGACGTGGGTGGAGAGAGGAGGGGAGCAACTGCATGAGCAGGGCCGGAGGGAACGTATCCCCTGGAGATGAGCACCTCAGGTGCAGGGCCGTGGCCTCCTAACCCTTCCGCCATCGGCCACCTTATTGCTAAAACTCTGTGTATTTGCCGAAAGGACATTAGGCTCTGAAGCGAGATGCTGCTTCCTCCGAAACCACCGTGCTCCTGCCCCGTCTCTCACACGGTGAGTACTCACGCTCTATCTTGGGACGGCGGCCAGCCCGCTGCCTTACCTTGTTTGAATCCGTGTCCAGTATTTGCATCAGCCCCTGCAGCCTAGTAAGAGTTCACGTGGTCACCTTGAGAGCAGTTTAAAGGAAAGAACAACATTTTGTGTTGTCTACAACTTGCAACAGGTGTTGGCAATGAGCCTTGGCCACCTACCTAGATGTTTGATAAATATGAGGTGATGTCTTACCTCAATAATTCACCCAATCTGTGCTAGGATTTTACACACCAAGGGTCTTGCTCCACTGTTGGGAGGTGTTTCTAGGACTTAAGAATTGGGGTTCAGAGTCAGACAGTCTGGGTTCAAAGGCCAGGATCCCTTTCTAGCTAAAGAACCCCGGACGAATTGCTTAATGTCTTAGTGTCTGAATGCTCTTATCTATAAAACAGGAAGGCCAGCAATAGCACTGTGTCCATATGGCTATGAGTAACAGTAACAGCTAACATTTATGGGGTGTTTTTTTTTTAACTTTTTATTTTATATCGGAGTACAGCCGATTAACAATGTTGTAACAGTTTCAGGTGCACAGCAAAGCGACTCAACCATACATATACATGTACCCTTTCTCCCCCGAACTCCCCTCCCATCCTGGCTGCCACATAACACTGAGCAGAGTTCCCTGTGCTACACAGTAGGTCCTTGCTGGTTATCCATGTGAAGTATAGCAGCGTGCACATGTCAGTCTTATGAGGTGCTTCTGAAACGGCAAGTGCCGTTCTAAGCACTGTACGAAGTCCCGTCTCATTGAATCCTGAGTAATCATATGAGCTAGTGCTGTTTTTATTCCCATTTTACAGATGAGGAAAATAAAGCAGAATGAAGTTAGTAAGTACTAGAGCTAGGATTCAAACCCAGGCAGCCATAGTCCAAAGCCCAAATCTGTAACCAGAACTGCAGGCTTAGCGTGGTACAAAACACAGTAAGAACTTCCTAAATTCTCAGACGTGGTTTGAAAACGTCAAAAATGGTGCAAGAATCAAACAACAACAACAGCACGACAGCAGAGGCCCTCAGCTCTCTGGTGCAATCTTGCCGTTTCAGTCCTCCTAGAAAGCCGTCTAGGAGACGTTCCCTACTCACACTCACATGTCCTTCGGCCTCTTTTAGAAGTTACGTCAGAGCTGAAGCCTTGCTAAGTACTTACCTGGAGGAAGCACCTGGTATTCTTTACTTTCTTCAAGAATACCTGCCACAATCTAGGCCATCAAGCTCACTCACAGGGGCCTCGAGCATCCCAGTGTCTGCTCTTCTGTTCACATGGTCCCACTCATCCACTGAGACACCCTCCCTCCTTTACTCCAAAGGCCACCCAAAATGCGACACCAGGCTCAGTCCGGAATTCCCATCAGAACACTTTCTCAACTCCTGATTTATTATCCTGTAACACTTTGCATTTTAAAAGCCCATTGTCTTACCCCGAACATAAGCTCAAGAGCACAGAGACTGTCTGACCCTCTCTGCCACCCCCCGCAAGCGTCTACTCAAGTACCCACCGTGACCTGCGCTCTGTGGGCATCAGCTACCAGATGATACACTCGATTCCAAGATGATGTACAGTAACAGTCAGTAACCATTGCAAAAATAGAGAGGTGGGACATGTATAAATATGTGCGATTTCCAAGTAACCAGTGAACCCGTAAAAATGGATGTGAGTAGTTACAACCACGTGAGCTGTCAGAAAGCGACGCGGTCGCCCTCGGGCAGCACTTACCGGCCCCTCCCTCCTCCTCGCCCAGGTTCAGCACGATGATGCAGATGTGCTTCCGCAGCTGGCGTGGGTTGGAGAACTTCCGGCAGCACTTGCTGCACTCCAGGCTGCTGGGAGTCAGGCTGCCCCCTCCCTCGGGGGCCCGCGGGCCGTCCCCGCTGGGAATAACGTTGTTTTCCGCCAGTTCCTCTTCGGGGCTGGCCTTCTTCGTGGACCCCTTCGGCCTGCCTCTCTTCCTCTTCATGACCGAAAACTCTATGAAGGAAGCAAGAGGGCACCATGTAGTCACAGGAGGCGACAGTGCAGGGCATGCACTCAATTTCCAAGTGCAGAAATATGTTTGGTTCCACGTTTTATTAAAAGAGGAAAGTCTGAAGCAGTTCCAGAAATGAACAGCTGCAAACAATCTTTAGTGCTAATATCTCTGCACCTCTATGCTATTGTATAATCAATTTTGTAATAACATGACTTAAGAATATCACTTTAGGGCTTCCCTGGTGGCGCAGTGGTTGAGAATCTGCCTGCCAACGCGGGGGACACGGGTTCGAGCCCTGGTCTGGGAAGATCCCACATGCTGTGGAGCAACTGGGCCCGTGAGCCACAACTACTGAGCCTGCGCGTCTGGAGCCTGTGCTCCGCAACAAGAGAGGCCGCGACAGTGAGAGGCCCGCGCACCGTGATGAAGAGTGGCCTCCGCTCGCCACAACTGGAGACGGCCCTCGCACAGAAACGAAGACCCAACACAGCCAAAATAAATTAATTTAAAAAAAAAAAAGAATATCACTTTATCAGAACCTTTGCACGTGCTTCTTCCCATAAGGCGGGGAGGACATTTCTGTTTTTGTTTTTGTTTTGGCCGAGCAGCCTGTGGGATCTTAGCTCCCCGACCAGGGATCAAACCTATGCCCCCTGCAGTGGAAGTGTGGAGTCCTAACCACTGGACCGCCAGGGAAGTCCCGGGGAGGATTTTAAGTTGTGACCATCAGCCCCCAGTTCACAAACCAGGCTCCTTATGACCCACCATTTCCACTGAAACCCAGTTCTCAGAAACTTGCTAAGGACTTCTTTGCAAAGCGTTCTCAAAGGCTGCTTGGCTTTTCATGCTCTTAATGAGTTACACAACTATTCAGACTATTTCAAGGCATCATAATTATTAGATGCAAATTGTTCTGATGAAAAAGAGAAAAAATAATTACAATCTAAAGCCACCAATTATAGGACTAAAGACAATATTTTTCAAGTTTCCTAGAAACCAAATGATTTAAATGTCATGATCAGAGCTGCTTCAGAGTAAGTTTCAAATCATTTTTCCTCTTGTATTTCTTCTTAATTAGCATTCATTGTTAAGGCACTTGTCTCCAAGGGAAGGTGGGAATTAAGATGGGTGAGTGGGGTCAGGGGGCATCGTGCCATTGCGTGAAGGTGGAGTGGTGTGTCTTAGGTGATGTGACTTGAGGGGTACCCAGAGGAGGCCAAGCAGGGGACCAGCACAGCCTGGCCGCCGTGCCATCTTTGGAGAGCCACCTGTCTGGCTAAGGCACGGCATGTCAGCAGCCCTCTTTGCATCTGAACATCAGGGCAGAGGAAGGGTCCTAGCTTCTAGCACCATCTTGAGGGAATGTCATCTGCGGAATTATGATACGTTCAAGGTCCCTCCTGCTCTTCCCAAGGCTACGGTTCTGCCCAGGAAACGTCAGCCACAGTGCCCACTGCTACCAGCGTGAGGACCCCTTAAGTGGGTCACTTGTGCTCCCAAATCAGACAGGAAAGCCATGGGGCGGGCGAGGAGGTCAGGAAGGTTCCTGAGCAAAGTCTGCAGGGAAAGAGCAGCGTGACAATGAGGGTTCTGGACAGAGAAGCCTGCTGTGACGCGGGGTCCCCAAGAGCTCAGAGGGATCAGGCACCAGCATGGGGGAGGAGCTGAGACGGGGAGCTCCCTGCAGAGCAGAGTTTCCACTGAGCTGCAGTGCCAAGCGTGGCTCCCCCTTGACGTAGAGCTCCGAACCGGGGCCTTCCGTGGCCAGGACAGCCCAGCCCAACACACAGTCACTGCCTTCCCTCTATCTCACCGGGCATGTCGGAGACGAGGATGGGAGTGGTCAGGAACAGGGGAGAAAAAAGTACTAAACAACAAGAAAGCAAACGAAGAGACCAGAACAAATGAGCAAGGGCACAAGCCCCTTGGATCCCTCTGGCCACACTGAGATTTTACCAAGGAGAATATCAGCTGTGTGGACAGGAGGTCCAGCCGATGCGGAAGGGAGGCTGGAGGGGGAGGTGAGGAAAGGGAGGTGCAGTGAGGACAAACTCTTCACCTCGAAGTCATTACAACTCTCCTCCTTATTATTCTTTACAACAGCAACTTACTGAAGCAGCAGTTAATAGAGGAGCAGAGTTCGCGAAGAGGCTCCAAAACGCCCACCTCGTGTCCCATCCGCTGAGCTGCAGAAACGTGTTGCTTAACAGTTTGTAGGAGACCGTGGTCCCAACCCTGACGCCAGACTCCGCACCCCGCCATGCAGACTAAGGTCCTCCTCTGAAATGTCCTGAGGATGTAGCTGTGTAGTGAAGAAGGGGCTTTACCCGTAGAGAGGTCTGGCCTCTGCCCTCAGCCGCTGGGGGTGAGCTCTAGGGCCATGTGCACAGGGGCTTTAGCCACAGGACTAACGCTGTGACTTGTTTCAGGGGCTCTGCAACAGGTCAGGTCAGTTCCGACCTCTGGATGAACTGGAGAAGAGAGGTCTTAGTCTGAGTCCCAGGAGAAGCTGGAGACTGGGGGACAGCCACATGAGCAGTGTGTCATCGAGCCCCAAACATCTCTGGACACCAAAGGCTCGGGCGAGCGTCCCTGGTTGGAAATACTCGAGTCCTGTCATGTAATGTAGCCAGAAGAAGGCAGCGGCGTCCAGGACACCACGGGTGTAGGAGGGGGACCAAAAGCCCCTTGTCTGGAACCCACCCCGGTCCCGACCTCACCCAGGCATCTCCCCCTCTGGCTCGTTCTGACCTGTACCCTTTTTGTTTAGAACTGTCATCACAAGTACAGTGCTTTCCTGAGTTCTGTGAGTCGTTCTAGAAAATTATCCAACCTGAGGGAGTCCTTTGGGTGCCTCAAGCTCGTACCTAGCTGCAGAAGCGTGGGTGGCCCTGGGAACCCTCAAATTTGTGGCTGGCGTCAGCAATCCTGGGCAGACGTCAAAGTCTTGCAGAAACCGTGCCCTTCCCCTCAGGTTCAGATTCGGCACTCACGGCAGCAGGGTACCCAGCGCCCTCTCCCCGGGGACGCCCAGAGCAGGCGGCAGCCGCGGTGCCCACGGGTGCGACCCCTCTTCCCGCACAGCGGGAGTGCAGCATGGCCAGCCGGACCCAAGAGTCATGCGTGTGTCTCCCCACAGGCAGGACCCCCTGAAGACTGAGTCCCGTCCCGATGGCTTTTTATGCCCCAGCATGTGACCCGGTGTCCCACCCAGTGGGCACCCCGTAAATCGTGGTGACTGCACCCCAACAAGCAGGGTGCAATCTGCCGTCAAGGAAGCAACATAAAATCAGCCCTGAAAGCTCTGGAAAACCTCTAACACGACGGTGACAAAACTAATCTTACATCTTGCTGCATCCATAATTCAGATCCTCAAGACCAATTAGTTAGCTAAAAATGAAACATTCATAAATGCACCTGGAATCACTTAAGCACCGAAAACGAGTTGCTGCTGTCAACTACCCCCATGGTACAGAAGAGCGGAGAAGGCAAAACTGGGCGAGGAAAATCCTGTCGCCTCTAAATCGACACATTTTAATGGCGTCTGAATGGAGGAAATTGCAATTCCTGTTCCTGTTCCCTGAATTCCTCTACTCAGGCATCACTGAACTCTGTGGATTTTGTCCTGAAGACACCTGCCCGTACACCCCGTCTCCGCTCACCCAGACCCCTGCACGGCATCTCAGAGTCCAGCTTTCTGCTCTGGTCTCTCCCAGCCTCCACCCCGTCCCACTGCCACTCTCTTGCTCTAGAACTTTCCATCGTTCTTGAGGACTTCGCCCCACGACTCTGAGACCTGGCTTTCCAGGCCCTTTATCACACAGTTCACCCTACACATGTGCGCACGCGTGCACACACAGAAACACACGCGCGCATGCGTGCTCGCTCGCTCTCAACCACTCAGGGCAGTGTTCTAGGCCTCCCTAAACATGCAGAGGGAACGCCTGCCTCTTTTTTGCTTCCCTGTGCTGTGCGCCCTCCTGCACCCCAATCAGAACCCTAACTCCAGGCCCAGTTCACGTCTCAGTACCTCCTCTGTGAGGCAGCTCGGCCGACCCTGGCTGGCCCCGCAGTTGCGTGTAAGGCACACACGTGTGCAAGCTCACCCACACCACTTCCTGACTGTGTTGCTCTCCTCCCACCTTCCATCACACACCCTGAGGTCCCGCAGGATCCCGGGCAGAGCTGGAGACGTAGCAGATACTTAATACAGACAGACACGCTGATCACCCGCTTAACGGGGAGATGCATTTCGAAAACAAGGCGTTTCCTAGGTCCCAAGTTTCCAACAGGAAGAAAGCGGCAAGCCACAGTGCCTCTCGACCCCGTCCCAAATCCACTACTGGGGACAACTTCCTCACAGGCAGAAAATTATCCTTGTAGATCCAAGACCTGACCTAGCAAGGGACGGAAAGAATCAGCCCAAAAGATGACATGAGCATTATGAAAGAAACCTCAACATTATCAAAAATCTAATAACGTAAGCCCTTTATTTGTACATCACTCAAGTTTGTCAGGCACTTTCGCAGCTATTATCACATCTTATCCTCACAAAAACCTTCAGAGATGGATGCAGCAAATCTAACTCCTCAGTAGGAAAAGAAATGAAGGACCGACCCAAAGGTTGAAGGGACTTGGCACATTTTCCAGGACCTTCCACTGAGCTGGCAGACCCAGGATCTGGGTTCCTTCTTCAGCGCCCAGATCCTTCTGCTGAGTCTTGTGGCCCTCGGGTCAGTTCTGGACATGGTAGTGGAGCCAAGAGGTGCACTGCAGAGAGCAGCCGCTGGGAGTTAGGTGGGCCTAAGTTCAAATCCCCGCCAGCCTCAGTTTGCAACATGAAAAATAAACACAAAGCTGCCTCTACTCTATACAGTCACTATTGACAAAAAGCAGCCCATGCAAATGCTGGGCACAGCACTTAGGAGGCGATCGGTACACGGCGACTGCTTACTGCCATGGCTACAGGCGTGAGTATTCCGACTTGGGCTGTCTCTCT